AACAAAATCGAAAGGACAAGTAGTGAATGGTTCGACAGAAAATGGGCGAAGTCAAGATGTCAGTAAATTGTTTGGAATGAGAAAAGGGAAAATCCTGTTGAATATAAAAAATGGTAATCGAGAAGAGCATGAGCGAAATACTTATACTGTAGGTCATTATTTAAATATAACTGCAGTTCAGGATTTTGAAAATCTAGAAATACCTTGAGAACTTTGTTTTCCAAGTATAGGCTTTGTTGAAATAGAACAAATGGTTTTTTTTTTTTTAATTTGCAAAGCATTATACATTTATAAAGCACTCAAAATATTCGTTTGTAATATTTAATTTTTTTTTTTCAAAACGTAGTCATGGGGCAACAGATTGGTCACTGAAATTTGTACAGTGTTTTTGAATTTTTTGCAAAATATAAAATCTACTTTTTTAGCCAAACTCGTTAGATTTGGATGTGATGCCAGAAGGACATGGGCAACTGTCTACAAATAAAAAACCTTATACAGTTCAAACATTTTTGGTGAGAGAGCAAATATCTCAATCATCTTCCTCAACAAATAGTGCAACAGCAGCAGTAGGTGTTGTTTTTGATGAAATGGTTGCACATTTACCAGTGCGAAACACGGTACAAGAAATGGTACGAGTGAATGTGGAACTAGTACCAGCACCTCTACAGATTTCACCCATTTTGCATCTATGAAATAAATTCAAGTTATGCGTTTTTGCTAAGGAAGTTCTCAGCAGTCCTCCGAAGCCATTTTCTTAGGATCAGAAAGTTACTGGAACATTTTACTCTTATGTCATCACTTTATAAGTCATTTCTGACTCTAGCGTAAGGAGCTGAGAATAATCATTTATTAATTAATGATAACTTACTTTTTTTTTGGAATAAGACTTTGAAATCTAACATATTCTGATTGCTTTGGAACGTCGCAGGAGCAGCGTATCCAGCTGCATCTTCAAAGATTGAAGGTAAGAAAAAACGAAGATGGAAATTGTGATGGAGCTACTAAGCATACTTAATAGTGTTTGGCATCTTGTCTTCTCTGCACAAGACGATTTCGGTAGCAAGAAAAAAAAAAAGCGAATGACAAATGGTTAATCGAACAAGCAAGATCTTCAAAAAAGATTTGATGAAAACGCTTCGGTTGTGTTCAGGTCATTAGAGTTGGTAGTGCATAAGTTACGGTTCTCGATTATTTTCTGTTCATTAACAGAGCTGTTTTGATGTTATCCGTTAACATTATAAATTCGTAATCTCAGGTAACTGTAATCATTAATTCAGGAAAATTTTTAGTGTATAACAAGTGATTTTGATCTTTTTTAATTGTGTCGACTAATACATTTGTGGTGAACAGTTCTAATTGCTATGTTCGTTTAATATTAATTCCAGTACTACCTGAATTCTTTTTAAATGTTCTCTGTTTAATGTGTTTTTAAAAAATTTTTTAGTTTCGATATAAGTTCAAGAAATCATTTTGGTCTCATTACTACACGAAATACATATCATATAGTTTCGTGCGCATATCTCACTTCTCAACATTAACTTAATACTTTAATCCATTGTTAGCCGGTTCCTTTCCTTGTATGCCGGTGTGCTGTTTGCAGCCCTAGTGACATTTCTGCTATCTGCATGTTAAATGATTGGAAGATGCCTTCACGCAAATTTTTAGAGTAATGCACAAACTTCATTAGCAATTATACTATTGGACTGCAAGCAGTGCATTGAAATTTAAATATTTAGGTTGAAGCTGTAGTAAATTTTTAAACGTGCAATATCAGCGGTGATGTACCAAAGTAGGTTTCCGCCACTGTTGATAGTTTTCTCAGAATTTAAATCTGCGGCAATCTTTTTTTTTTGGACATCTTAGTGCCATATCTCTTTTTTTGCTGTTTGTATTTTGTAAGGGAATATGTTGTTAGATGGTTTTTTAGGAAGGGAAGTTTAAGATTTATGCATGAGAAGGGAAATTAAAAAAAGCGGGAGTTCGATGCTTCATCTGTCACTTCTTCCATTTGTTGATTCCTCGCTAGGATTGGATTTCGTAGATTATTTACAATGGAACTAATCTCACTTTTTATGGGTGTTTGCATAGTACAAGTGTGTAATCTTACTAGCAAAATTGATTGGAAGTAGTTTCATTGTACAGCTTTTAATGTATTAAATAATTTACCAGTAACTTGTTAGTTGTAGTTTTTTAATACAGTGTCAATTTTAGCATGTGTTTTTTAATCATTTGCACTCCATTTTTGCCCATATTTTTTGACAGTTTTCTAATGTTGAAATAAATTCTTTCGTTTAAAGTCCGTTCAAAAAAAGGTGAAATGTCGATATTGACAATATCGATGTTTAGAAAAAGAAAAAATCAGAAAGTGCGGTATCGTGGTGTTGTAATCCGTTAATCATATACCATCGTTTGTTGAAATGCTGTTCAGCCATTGCAGTACTGATGGGAACTGTTGACTATAATGACTAGTGGACACGAATGGGGAGAGACGGGTTGTGGTAGGAGGGTGTAGTTATCTAGGAGTCAATACTTAACGAAGATTTCTATGCATTCGGTTGGGATTGTAAATAATCTATTGTTGTAAAAACCTTTGTTTTGGACATTAGAGACCAATGAAGTGTTTCACTAAGATGTTTAATTGGTTTGTGATTAGTCAACTGTAACGCGATAATACTATTTCAAACAATTCAAGGAAGGTTATGCGAGTTGGGTTATAGGAGTGACCTTTTCACTTATAAGCGAATTATGCCGATGCAATTTTCACTTTTTATTACTTGGAACATCCTATGTGGTTGAATTTTTTGTCGCTATGGTTATTCACTGCTGAATGTTTTCTCATGTTGGTGTTGTATGACATCAATTTCATTTAATTATAACATTCACAACAGAAAATTAAGACGATTATCGACATTACATAATTTTGTACTTAGGGTTCTGTACATTGCAGTATTTTCTTGTGCTACACTCGGTAAAAATATTTTAATATTTTGAGCTTAAGATTCAAACCAATTTTTTGAAAATCATGCATTCGTTCCTGATGTCACCTCGAAATTCGCAAGTATAAGTCAACATAAGTCAACATAAGTGACGTTTAATTCAATTTCATTATCTTTTTCATCAGGAAAGTTATTTCAAATTTGACAGGGACGAAACACACTTTTAATTTTTTAAGAATATTTTTCTTAGAGCTAACATTCTTAGATTTTCAAAAGTTTTCTTAATAATATTCTGAAAGGATGCAATTTGCATATGACTGCGCTTGCAATTTCCCTGCAGTAAACGAGAAAATAGAAGCGAAAGTAAAATTGACCATCTGAAATGTGTGATAAATGCTCAACCTCTGCTGCTTGAAAAATGTGTCGCTGAAACAGATAGCATATCAGTGTGCTACACAGTGGAATTTGCTAATACTGCCACCATACTCTACGGCTGTACAGTCCTTAGTCAGGTATAATTGCTCTGCCAGCCTAATTCAATTTTCATTAGCTGGTAATCTTCCTCTTAACAATTATTCTTGCTAGTTCATTCAGAATTCGTTGCAAGCTCTTAGACATATGTTTTCTTTTTATATGAATGTTCTTCTATTTTGATCAGTACCATTTTAAAGTGCTTTTATCAATTCACCACATCTATCTCTTCCATCTTAAAACAAAACTACATAATTTCTTAACTGTAAAGGTTATGAAGGAAGTAGAAGATTCAGAAAATACCAAAAATTTTGAAGATTTGAGTCAACTTTAACAAGTGAAAAATGAATGTTGTAATAATAGGTAGTATATTTAAGCACAAAACGTCGACTGATAGTATAAATTGTCAAAATAATATGTTCAATAAGTGTCCTGTAACACTCAATAAATCTCGATTTCCTCCTTATCAACATTTGCAATATTGCTGCTGCAATACCACGAAGTGCAACGGAAATTACCTACACAGAAGTATTATTTTTAGATATTTTTTCAGAAGTTACAATTTTCCAACTTCTTTTATACTTCATACAAGAAAATTTTTAATTCTTAAAAGTTGTGGCAGTTAAGTTTTGAATTGAAATATAAGATAGAAACTTATGTTTATGTTTTCTTTTGAATTCATAAATGTGTTAGTGCTCCGTTTTATTAAATTAATTAAAGTTATGAAATTAAGCGGAACTTAGATGGTCTTTTAGGAGAAGCAAAAGTACTTCCCAAAGGAACTGATAAAAATAGATCAGATGCGGAAATGCCAGGTTAGCGAAAGTTTTAAATTCTAAATCAACAGTTGTTTAGGAATACCAAACTGCTTTTTCTGATTAATAAATTTCAAGTTTATGCTTTTACCATATGTTAGAAAAGCACTTCTATTTACATTTCTAATAATTTATAATGTGACGGGAAAAACCGGTAAAAAGAAAAAAAGTAAATGGAATTGAATTAGAATGGACAAACTTAAGATTTCAAATCAACTTAAACTTTACTGATACTAGCCTTGATGCTGTAAATTGTATTGTTATTATCTACGATACCAAACCTTTACTGAAATATTTCACAGAATTGAAAAGAGCAGTACTAGATGTAAATATACCGCAAAGGATGAGTGGTGATGGTGACTCAGTGGTTACTAGTAAAGTGAGTAAGACTTCCTGGGGTCTTATCAGTGGAGTGATATGCGCAGCTGTGGTCATTGCTTGTCTCGTCGGTGCTGTCATTGTTTTAATCAACAAAAGACGACAGAAGCATCGCGCTGTGTAATAACAAGTTTATCTTTGAAAATAAAGCATCAAAAAAAATTTGATGAAGCGAACATTTTAAGTTTTCACTTCTTTTTTAATTATCACTTTATCAACTGAGGTATAAGATAAAATGAAATGTGTAAAAATAAAATGTGTGTGTGTGAATGAAAGCTTACGATTTTATAGTTTTTCTTGAAATTTTTTAGATTTTTCAATTGTAAGTTTTTGGATATTAGCATTTTTTCAAGAGTTCGTGGAACACTGATATTGCAGTTTGAATGCGAATGTTGGAGACATGATTACTATGCAAACAGCTGCTGATGATGATGACAATAATGAGGACATTGTCGGGATGATTTGTACTCCAGGACAGAAATCATCTACCAATGTGATCCACTCAGATCGCACAGATACGATAGTTCCAGCGCAACTTACACTTGCGGAACAAAATGCACTGCTGCAGTGTGTAATTTCAACAAGTTCTCGTGGTTGCAAAATGAATTGCTTTACTTGCCAATTCATAACTATCATTATAGTTTTTTTCTTATTCGTTGGCAGGCCTTTTTATTGATAGTAGCTAAATTAATAATTCTCATCCAAATCGTTTTTATATTATTAAGGCTTTCTAGATTAATGTTGAAATAAAATTTTCAATTTTCTTAAAATTCTAGGAGGAAGATGAGTGTTTAAGTTCAATAATTGAAAATCAGAACTTCATAAATCCGTCATAAATCAGATTTCTTTAGAAAGAAAGCTCAGACTAACTTGTTACTTTATATTTCTTTCACTTCCATTTTTCTTAAGAACAATAAAACAGAGCGGTCGATTGAAAGCGATACTGAAAGGCAAAAAGCCACCAAAAATCACACGCGTGATAACTTACGCTACGTCAGACGAAATAACTAACGCTGATTGTTCTGGAAGAGATGATCACTCCTGCAAGTCTTTCTTAATCTTAATATTGCACGATTTATTAAATCATGAAGCACCGAATGATAAGAAAATATTATCTATCTGCTTCACATGACTTTTCAATCAGAAATTATTGCATTTTACATTTTCTATATATAAGACAAAGTCAGTATTCCTCAACACTGGAAAGAACAGTATTCAGGCGCTATTGAAGTCTAGCGAGGAAACCAGTAAGGCTCCACAAAATGTTGATAATAAAGACTAGGTGATTCATAACTTCTATTTTACAAGTTCTATAAACAGTTACTTTTTTATGAAATATTCAGTTTCGGAAGATTTCAATGGAGATTTATTGCTGAAGTTGATTAGGAATGGTCCAAAACAATTTTCGTTCAAATTTGAAGAAATTAGAGAAATTCTCCTTCAAGGAGCTCGAGTCTTTCTCAAAGAACCAACATTGTTGGAGGTATTTGTTAGCTCAAACAGTCAATAATTTTCTTTAAGAAAAACTGGAAAGCCAGACGACTCTTATGACTCAATTAATATGGTTAAACAATAATGAAAATGATGCTAACTGAATGAAATGAATTTTAGGTCCCATTACCTTGTGTGGTTTATGGTGATATACATGGCCAATACAGTGATTTGCATCGATGGTTTAATTTAAATGGATGGCCAAGTCAAGTACGTAGCGTATTTCTTGGTGATTATGTTGATCGCGGCTCACATGGTATCGAAGTGGTTGCATTGCTCACTGCACTTAAAGTAGATTTTTGCTCAATTTCTGAATTGGCTTTAAATATTTAAAATTCAATTAATTCTTTAATTATCTTTCCATTTAAGGTTCGTTTCCCCAATAATATTTTCTTGTGTCGCGGTAATCACGAAGAAGAATCACTAAATCGTGCATATTCGTTTTATGAAGAAGTTTGCATGAGATTTTCTGAAAATCTCGGTAAATTTAGAATCGAAAAATGATATTTACAATCTCTGAATAATTAGTGTATAAAAGAGAATTAGAAATAGTCCATAACTATTAAAATATCACTGCAGAAGGTAGAGATGGTCGGGCATTGTATCCTTACTTTCGAACTTTGTTCAGTAATTTACCATTGGCGGTACTTATTGGTGGTCGAATTCTTGGGATGCATGGTGGCATTGGACCGAGACTTACTTCGTTGCAGGTCTGTTAATTTAGCTATTCAAGACTAGCAATATATACTATTAAATTCTGTTAGATCTGAGAAGGTATCACTTTCTCTCCATGGCTCGAATATGATCTAAAACGATGATAAATTTAGGCAATCCGAGAAATTCGACGACCTTTGGAAGAATTTGAGGTTGGGTCACTGGAATGTGATTTGGTATGGTCAGATCCTGATACATCTCCAGATCGCAATGGTTTCCGAAGCAATTTTGAGCGTGAACCATTATATGGCATTGGTCAACTATTTGGATCTGATACAGTCCAAAGTCTTTGCAAGAAGCTGGATATCGACATGTTAATTCGTGGACATCAGGTTTAGTCTTGCTTCTTTGAAAGTTAAACTTTCAAAACAGAATGTTCGCCTTCTCTGATTAAATCCAAAAAACTTTGATCTTAGATACATAATTTCAAGAAATGAATAGCAAAGGCGAAATTGAGACGAAAATTGAAATAATTATTAAAAGATATTGAAAGTGATATTGCATTACAAAACTACAACAGAGTGAATCACATATATATATATATATATGAAACTATGCAAAGTAATGTTTTCAATTGGCAACTGTAAACTTTTGGGAAGAAGCGAGAAAAACTGAAATTCAAATAAAATTTCTTGATTTCTTCCTCTTTAGTCTTAATGACTTTCGTTTTTGATGCCAGCAAAATTATCTTTTTTTGGAGAAAAAATTGTGCAGGATGAAACTTACAGGAAGAGTCGTTCATTGTCTTTGAAGATTGAGTTTGATCAATATCAAATAATCTTGATATTTTGTATTAGGATGACATTTTGTGTATATATATATATATATATATATATATATAGTGCAGGAATAACTCGATAGAATTTTAAAAATGATCATAATTTTCAGGCACCACTTCATGGGTATGCATTATTTTCGGATGGTTGCATGTTGACTTTGTTTTCGGCTCCAGGATATAAGGGCTCATCAAACAGTGACATTAATATGGGTGCATCCCTTGAAATTTCAACCTCAATGAACATCTCAATCAAACAGGTCCGTCAACTTCTATTAATTCTAACCATGTATACTAAATAGATATTCGCGCTTATTTCTATTCACTCAGTAATTGTGTGCCAGCAGCAACCTATGAATGATGTTGGAGATCAAAGAAACTAACTGTCATAAAATTATATCAGAAGTGATAACATATAATTTGCAGATTCAGGTTACTGAGAAATTTCGCCAGAAACGAATCACTGACACTGAACAGAGAAAAACAAAAACGAATGTCACCAGAGAACTCCCTCAATCACCGGCGAAAAGCAATGAATCGATGTCGCAGTCAACATCATCACTTTTTTGATAGACAACACTTTCAAAGCAGATGATGAAATCAGATTTGAATAAATTCAGAAAGAGCTAAAATAATTGGCAATAAGAGACATGAAAATTTTTCCATATGCATAAAGTTACACACCTTAAAGCTTTCCTTAATCGTTATGCAAATTCAACATTCTAGAATTGCTTGGTTTCTGTTTAGAATTTTCTTAATTCAAGCACTAATTTACTGGAATACATCGTACATTAGAATAAATGACTTCAGAATGGCAATATATTGCTTACAATGGTTATAATACGCTACCATTTAGCAAAAGGAATATAAAATCTCAGTTTTCAGTGTTTTATGTTTTCGATTTTTTCGCAAAAAAATCAATTTGCTAATAACGTTCAAATAGATGTTATTCCTGAGAACTGATGATGACTGTATTTACTAGTGAGCGGTATGTTTTTACAAATATGCAGTGAATTTGATAAGAAAATTTAGTGGTTATTACGACAGTTTTTTTTTTTGAAATTAATTAGAAAAAATTCTTTATAAAATCCTCGAAAACTACTTGTAGACTGAATATCTTCGTAAGTTAAGCCATTGTTACAGAAAGAACGGATCTTATAGCATCCTTGGGAGTTTGTCTATAATTGTTGGCGTTTGATCAGAACCGAATAATGCTATTGCTTATAAAATATGACTCTTACTCGAAATCGAAATCTGAAAACAAAATGATAGTTTTGAACTTCTACAATTTCCAATACTTGAATATAGCTGATATATGCTACTGGAGACTGATCCATATTTGCATATCAAGGTATTTCAAACAAATGTTTTTTTGGGAATTCGAGCTCATTTGGTCAAAATGCATAGAACACTAGGAGAAGGGAATCTGCGGGAAACGAAACAATGGAAATGTTGGCGAAACAGTTATTTTCAATTGTCTGTGAATATTTCTTCAGCAACTAATTTTTTTTTAAGAACTCGTAAAATTAAGCCATCGAAAATTTGGAATAACAACGGAACAATCTTACTTTACATCAACCAACAGATTACAATTAATCAAATCCTTTTCTTCAGTAATTTTTAAACAAATGCAGTTGCTTTGAAGTTCTTTCCACACATAATTCTAATTGATACTGGTCTTATAGATTCTCATGTTAAAACAACATTCCGTAAAAAAGAATATCAATTTCCAACTGGTATTTCAAATGTCAGGTCTTCCATCACATTGTGCTACTAAGCAATTTACGGTCTTCCGTCACATTATAATACTACGCAATTAACGTGAAATTATCTTCCAAATGGTAGCGTTTGTTTTTGTATTTGTTCGGAACAAAAAATGAGCAATTTTCCGTATCACAAATTCGTTGTAAACTTCATGAAGTTGACAGTGCAACAACTATACGAATACAACGTGTATTCTTCAACGGAAGTAGCAATTTTTACACAACGACTCTAAGGTACTTTTAAGACACTCGTTTCGGTTTCGGCATAGTCGTAAAGTTCACTCGCAGGAGAACATTCACTGGAACTACTGATGGAAAGAACGCAAGAAACATCCGTATTGCAAGAGACAAAATCCATCGTTAATAACTATATCTGTATAAAGTATTCCGAAGTAAAACTTATGAGATTTCTTGACTATCGAGAATAGATATAATAGCTGGTGATTGTATCCAAATTATTCAGACTACAGCACTGAATGAGTTGCATGTATCTTTACATAGTTGGTAGGAAGTAAATGTGCTTTAGTCGAGAAATGATTCAACTACGAAAAGTGTTTAGGGTAGCAAATCCAGACAACGCTGACTTACACAAAAGACACGCACGTTTGCAGAACAACGAAACCATCACGTCATCCCGCCCGGTAAATCATGAATGGACGATGTTTGGAATAAGGTGTGGAATGTTAGTAATAATGAGTTTGAGGACTTCGGTTAGTTTGAAATTATCTGATGGGTTGTATAGATGAGTGAGTCACTCGTGGCCACTTTCTTAGAGAACAATCTGTAAAGAAATTGCTTTTAAAGAGGATGTGACGAGACGGTTCTCAAGTTAGCTTATCTTGATTAAAATATTCCCACCTTTAATCTTTTGATATTGGGCATTTAAGGCGAGAGGGCGTCTTATTGGGATATTTAACTATTTTATCAAGTCATTTCTTTAATTATATCTGTATTCTATAAAAAATTGAACTAAGCAGTATGAATTGTGAACTAAATAGAAGAGTAATATATTGCAGGTTAAATTGGATACAAACATAAATTGAAAAAATACAAGTAGCTATGTCTGATGCTTCTTCTCTGAATTCTGTTTATGGTGATGAGGAAGAAGCAAACAATCAGGATGATGAAGATCTCGATTTTTATGCGATCTTAAACGTTCCAAGGGATGTAAGTTTTCTCCGATCATTTATAGTTTAAAAAACAGAATTCTAGTTCACCTTAATCTTAAATGGAGCATTTTTACACAGACCATGGTGAGTTGGTTTTGGTGGACGATGTAATACGTTCAGATACGTATCTTTGAATGGACTATTTGTATCCAATTTGAATAAAGTTTTAATAACATGTTCAGTTTAATTTAGACATTAACAGAAGTTATTGGATTGTAGGCAACATTGGATGAAATTAATAAATCGTATCGGCAGAAGTGTTTGATATTCCATCCAGATCGACATCTTCATCCTGATCATAAAAAGGATGCAGAGAATTTTTTTTTTAAGTTACGCAAAGCACACGAAAGCAAGTTCTTTTTTCATATAAATTTATGTTGCCATCTTCAAATAGTTTTGCTGAAATTAATAATTATTTAATAACACCAAAGTAATGCAAGTAACGATCAATTTAATTACTCTATTTTTATAGCACTTTCCGATCCCAAACTTCGAGCGATTTATGATACGGTTGGACTGCAAGGCCTTGAATTGCATGGCTGGGAACTCATTTCTAAGTCGGATAATGCCGAGAATATTAGACGAGAATATGAGTTTCTTAAACGTTTACGTGAAACAGAAATCATGCTGCAACGGGTTCATCCTTCCGTAAGTGTATTTATTCCAAATTAATTGTTAATGAGATACTGTTTTTTCTTTATAATTCGGTTGCATTCCATATAGTTTGGCTCTTAATTCATTTTTTTTTTCAGGGTTTGTTTGTCTGCAAAACATCTTTAACGGGAGTTTTTGCTGCGAATCCTGAGCTGAGGTTGTTCTTTATATCAGTTCCCTCAACCTAATTTTTCTTTGCGGTTAAATAAATTCGATCTCTTTTGTTTTCGAAAGAATCTGAAGGGAAATCAAGTATTGTCTTGTTCTTATTGCTTATAAATACAGTTCTAATTAGTGCTAAAAAGAGCAGAAGTGCTGTAGAAATAAAACTTATGGAAAATAAGTCAAAAAATGTTATTTTAGATGTCCTCCACAAGTAACTGGTTTATCTCTATCCCAGAATATCGAATGTCCTATGACAGCCAAAGACAAAGTGGGCTTAAGTGGTCGTGTAAAAATGAATAATGGTAAAGGTGATGGATCATTTATGTTGCATTGGAAAAGAATGATCTCATCATCGTGTTTAGTTGAGGTATTATTTATGTGACTTAGTCTTTAGAGTATGAATATGAGGATTATGCAAAGACAAATAAATATTTGAAATAGAAACTATTTTCAGTTCAATACAACTTTTACACCAGATTCGATATTGCTAGGATTCAAGTACGCTAAAAGTATATATTTAAAAAATGCAATTGTGATACAGCCCTCAGTGCAATATTTTCCACTATATTCAGCTGTTAGTCCGGTCTGCACTTTTAGTAAGTTCACCCTACATTTCATCTTAGAACTGCATTAAAAGCACATTTGTGAGGGAAATTAATTTAGGGTAATGTATGTAAGCAGATAATAAGACGTATTTTTCAGTCCTCTCTAGGAATCTTCATCCATGTTGGCAAGGATCTGTAATATATCACTGCGGATTGCAGCCATCATTGACAACATCTTTGGTTCATACCGAATTCAATATGCCAAAGTTCCTTATTAATTTGACGGTTGGTTTTGGCTTTCTGAGCATCATACTCTTGAAATAAAAATCGTGATGGTGAAAATTTTGAGGAATCTATATTATATTACTTATATTACTGTAACTGCTTTTAGATATCACCAGTAAATTCAAACATTCGGATGGTTTATACGAAGCGGAGTGTAGAACAGGACTCGTTTACCGAAACTTCATGTATATTTTCATTAATGGGTATTATGCCAGCAGTTGCATTTGAAAAACGTTTATCAAGATATTCTCGAATAGGATGTAATCTGTCATTTGCTTTCCCTTCTTGTCTTTTACAAGCTAAATTTAGGTGAGCTTTGTTTGGATTTTTTAGCTTCATTAGATTTAAATATGTCCATTATTTTAGAATATCATTTTTAAATGCTGTTTTATTTTTTACTTACGAATTCCATTTAAGATTGAAGACGGGTGCCTCAGTTTACGATTATCAATTTCTCTTATGTGATAACGAGGAAGATTTAGTACGTTCAACTTTATATGGCGTTATTATGCCGATTACAACTTTTTACTTATTGAAAGGGATTTTTGGACATGTATACGAACGTTTCATGTCATTGTTTGAAGATCACTCCGAAGAGCGGCAGGTATTCAAGCATTAATTAATAGAAGATAAAAATTATTAAAGACGAATTATAGTTATGGAACTATTTAATGAGATATTTGCTTACGTTACATCGCTTACGTGAAATATACTCATACGTAGTCATTTGTTTATCGAAGCCTTCGAAAATTCTGCGTTTAGGTAGATGCTGTTAAACGTGAAGAAGCAAGCAGTGTCATAGATCTGATGAGACGTACGGCGGAGCGGATAACGAAAGAGGAAGAACAAAAGCATGGTTTAGTCATTGTTGAAGCGAAATATGGTCAAATGATTGGAGAAGGCCACAATGCATTGTCGTATCCATTGTTAGGAGATCGTATTGTTGATGTCACAGTGCCATTACAAGCTATGGTTAATGATTCACAATT